ATACCAGACATATACGGTCCATACGGTTCTTTTAATAAAATGTGACATTTTTAAATAGTATAAATAGTAATGTCCTTTCAAAGTCGCACAGGTTTGCTTCTAATTTCCTTGATACAAATATCCATGTGAACGCATAGCTGCTTCACTTTATTAATTTCCTCGTAAAACTTTGCTCCCAATAGAAATAAGCGCCTCCCTTCGAATTAGCGCCCCCCTCTCGCCTTAGAAAATTAAATAAGCGCCCCGGGCGCTAACTCGAGCATTTACGGTATCTCTAATCGTGTTTGAAGCTCTTCCATCAGGATAAATAAAAGTAGTTTCCTGTTTCCCACCAGCATCTCAAGAGGAAAAAAAGAAGCTCACATGACAAAGTTCTGAGGCAACTGTAGCGATAAGCAGCAGATGTAGGCAATGATCAATATTATTAACCACAGCGTCTTTGTCAACCTGATCACTTACCGCTCATTCTACATGATGAGAGGAATCGACCTCTTTCGTAAGAAATTAAGTTTTACATGTTAATACCATAAATATTCGAGTTCCTTCAAACAGGCAAAGAAACCACGCTTTCACTGCCTTCTAATTGCGCAAGAGTGTTTTCAACAAGCAGTTACAAAATAAAACCCTATAATTACAACAACACCATGGTTAAATGGACTAATCGATACGAAAATAGTTTAACATTGACCCACGTTCAGGTACACCCTGAACTGCTCTAATATTCGATGGAAAAACTTAGACGGATATACCTCAAGTAGCTATGATTCGAATGACTAAAGAATGCTGATTGTGACAGTGGGCTTACCTGAATCACAAATACAGATCAAATCCTTTTCTTCAGAGATATGTATACGCCGAGATCCAAGGACGTGAAAGAATAAAATTCGTACTTTCTAGAACACGGGTAACCCGACAAACACAAATTTTCTGTCGTTGGAATTCTGAAAATGTTTAAGAGTTGCGATACAAATGCAAGCTAGCCTAGCCCAAACTCCTGGCGCCCGCGAACATTCGTTTTTTCAAAAAATATGTTTCTACATCATGTAACTCATGTAAAGTCCATTTTAATTGGCCTCGTCCCACTCTCTCCTCCATATTTTACTCTGCGTTCCGCATTGCAAACATCTCACATCTGTTTCTCTTAGAAAAATGAATATTTTATTATCAGTCGAAGGGGCCTTTCAATTAAAAACACCTTCATCTATACTAGATTTTTAACGATTCTTCGCAAATATTACAGGATCTTTTGCTGAAACACATGTCCAAAAAAGTTCAGGATGCACAAACATGACATGGCCAGTTTACAATAATCTCTCATTGGTGTGAGAACGCGGTTAAATGCAAGTGCCGACTGGACAGATTGAGCTCTGCTCTAGTTTCTCACAAATGTGTCCATCAACCTGTCATTTGAATTGAAATAAAATTTACAAGACATTTCAGCCCTTCTCAAGACAAGCCCGACTGCTAAATCGAGAAATTGTTCCGTCAGATTCAGTCAGTGACTACTACATTAGAAGTGAGCTATGTATTATCTATTCCTTAACTCTATGGTACGTATCGAAACTTGATTCACGTATTGTCGCACCAAGTCCACTATTCACAGTAACAAAGTTATAGCCGCAAAATGTCGGCAACTAGTCTCCAGCTGAGATCAGTGCCAGAGAAAATTTGGGCGTATATGATACTCATATTGTGGTCATTGCCGCTAGCATTGTACATAGCTCACTAGGCTCTTCTTGTTTGAGCACTCTGGCATGGCTTAGACGATACCATAAGATCGTTTGGGGATCCATATTGGTTCTCCCCCATCCTAGCATCAGCACTGCACTGATGAGGCCCAGAAAGCCCATAGAATACTAGTCAGACGTGTCATTTTGTGCTCCTCGACTAGTCAAAGTTCTTCCTCATTTACTGTTGATTGAAGGTTAGTTGGCCTCTGGGCCTTTTTTTACTTTTGCTTTTACGTGTGATTTACGGATTCTGCAATGAATACCGATGGTTTAGTTGAAGCTTTAGTCGCTGATGGAATTATTGAAGACTCGTCAGTTGTCAATGGCGAATCGTACGCTTCGAGAGCCGCACGTACCTCTGGAAATTATGGCAATGGAAATAATGTTAACAGAAATAATGTTACAATGAATATATGAAGTTCCTATATTTTGAACTGCGGTTGTAGATACGTATGATGCACGATCCTCGCAGTAGAGAGCGCTATTTATGCAATAGCGAAAATCAGACCTGAAAAAAATCAGCAATGTGTTCAAGTACGTGCTCAAAGTCGTGCTCCAGGGTTAAAAGTGATGACGTCACAAGGCGTAGAAAGGGTGTGGGTCCACATGGGCACATACAGGTGCACTGGACGTCAATAGGTTAACCTTTGAAATCCAGATGCTATCTAGAATTTGCATACACCATTGTTGAAATTGGGCTAATTTGGAGCATGCATATTGGATCTCAAAAGGCTGCTTAATGGTAAAGATTTGCAATTAAGAAAAGGATTCTGCTATCTGTATCTTAACATAAGCTTTCTGCTAATACATCATTGCTTTGGGGGTTTGTATGAATAAAGACCTTTTTGATGGTTAGTCTCACATGCAAAGTAGATTTCACCTCTTTATTCACTTTCCAAATAGATTCTATGTTTAACCTTCCAAAATATGTAAAACACAAACTACACCAACAAGTAAAATGTTGTTTGGGTCACATCTGGCTGTTCCTCATTACAATTGAAAGTCCATACCTCTTTAGCCACTAAATGTAGCTTGATCACAGGAATTCATATTATGTTTTGAATTTCTAGTCTCACAGCAGTACAACAGTGTTGCTTGAAACTTAGGAGTTTGAAAATGGCAGACAAAATGTTTGAGCAGATAAGATGCATAATCCCATGCATGTGCAGCTCATGAGGCTGTCTCTTTAAGAAACCAAACTGTGCAATGCTTGTGTGGCTTATCACAAAAAAGGATTAGATTACATCTAATTTATGAACATTGTATATTTATAGATACCGTAAATGCTCGAATTAGCGCCCAGCCTCAAATAAGCGCCCCACTTCGAATTAGCGCCCCTCCTAAGGCTCAAAATTTGTACTAAGCACCCCCCTTCAAATAAGAGCC